TAATTCACCATCTCAGATGTGTGTTAATTGATTCATAATTCCTACCCCTCATCATGTTCAATCACTAAAGAGGAACCATGTGGAAGGATCCAAGAGACGTGATACACTTTAACCCAAACATCGCAGTTGTAATGAGAATATACTAAAGAATTTCATTGATGTGATGGAAGTTTGTGTCAATCATATCAAAGTCAAGGTAGAAATGATCGAGATAAAGCAAAATCTCTAGAACAACTAGCCACAGAAGGAAGATAACTATGAAAATATCACCATCTTATATTTAAAAAGTGAATCATTCTACCCTAGCACGCTAAGGAAAAATATAGAAATTAAGGATGTAACTCAAATCCCATTCACGGAAGAGGTTAGAAAATAAGTAATACCAATATGGTTTCTACTTTTTAGCACAAATGAGTATGACAAGAATATTGACCCATATGATAACCTAACCTTTTTCCAACGCCAAAATGAAAAATCTATGCCTCTCAAGCTTTAAAGTGAATTATTGTTCAATGCATCAGTTACCTTGAAATTTTTTACGCATGTATAAGATAGGACATAAGGGCCATGTTCCTAAAAGTTGGATTATGGTCGTTTTGTTTATGTGAGTTGAAAATAGACTTGGTCGACCTTGTTGATCAATAAATACAAATCTCCCAGTCGAACCTCCAAAATGAGAAGTCTATGATTTTTGGTCAAATTATTTTACTCGAGAAAACTAGGTCATGATGTCCTAAAAGACTTAGTAAAATTTGAGTTTTCTTTGATCTGAAGCATAGTCGAAGCATACTTAAAATGGATAAAGGCAGACAATTTTTCAAGGACAAGGCAGACAATTTCTTCAAAGACACGTGGAAGCTTGCATAACTAAATTTGCATGGATTAGTAACGTGGAAGCTTCTGCTTAGTCGACCGTTATAGATGGTTAGTTTTAGGATTTCTATATAAACAAAATTTCTTTTTAGTTTTAGGGGTCCACATTTGTTACATTGCTATAGAAACTCAAAGTATTAGTGTTAAAGTGAGAAACATGTGATTTCTGGAAATTGTATGTATGAGTTCCATTTTATGAACTCCAAGAAATTTATTTTTCATTTCAATACAATTTTCCTCTAAAGTATTTTTCCTTTAATTATCTTTACTTTTGCAGTTTGAGTCTTTCCTTCAATTTATTTATTTAGTTCAAAGATTACCACATTTAATTTACTACAACATTAGAATTTGTCAAGATTTTAGCACTACGTCATAGGATTTCCTAGTTGATTCTGCAAGTAACCTTTAATAAGAAACTAGAAGTAGTTTACAAGAAATCAAGGTAAACAAATTGGTACACCAAGTGAGGCTCTGTGCTAACATTGTTTTGTTTTAAGTAGTCTGCTAATTGCTTTGTAATTGTCATTGTGAGTATTTTTTGTTCTGCACAACACTAATGTTGGTTTATGCATGAACTTGAGAAGTGGAAAACAATTGTCTAAAATGTCATGTTCTGGCACATATAATAACACTTCTAACCATGCACAAATCAATGCTCAAAATATGGGTGTCATACCAGTTGGTGCCACAACTAAAAGCATGGCGGTTTTGTCCCCTGTAAGGACGTCTACTGTCACTGGTTTGACAACAACGATTTTGTCCGCGCTGATACTCCCTAGGGGTTTACCTTTTAACCCCTCAAGGGCATTGTTCCATGTGGGGTCGATGCCACCCCATGGATATTATCAATACGGCATGCCTCAGTCGATGATGGTTGGCCTTCAGTCAAACATGTTAACGTATGTTGATAATATGATGGCCATCGGGCCACCTTTTAACCACCAAAATACCTCTGTTGCATTGTGGCTCTGAATACTGGTAGTCGACAACTATAACAGCAGCCTGAATACTGGTAGTTGGCAGCTATAACAATAGCTTGCCATTGAGTAGGGGACCAAGTGGCTTAAGATTCCACCATTTTGATGAATTTGAAGGAGATCTTTTAGAGAGAAGTTTAAAATTAGAAAAGGAAGATTGAGAAATTGAGATCTAAAGCTCTTAGGGAAGAGATTTAGATTTCTATATCGAAGGAGATTTAATCGAGTAGATCGAAAAGCATAGATATGAAGCTTTGAAAGATGATATCTAGTTTTTAGATCGAAGGAGATCTAATCGTGAAAATTTGAGGGAATCAGATTTTGATTCCTATATTTGTCATTGTTTAGTTAAAAAAACCAAAATATTTCAATGAATTGATGAAGTAGTGCCTGTTACGGTGGATTCGAGTTTCTAGTGCGGCAGAGAGGGGTTGACCTATAAGGTTAGCACTTTAATGCCCAACTCATTAAGAGAATGATAAGTGTTATGGGAATGACAATGATTGAATACTTGATAATGACACACTTTCCCTCTTAAATAGTGGAAACAATTATCTATTGGAACAAGTTTGGTTTTGCAACTATCTTTAAGTTTTGATGATAATAAAGTTTAATTTGTATAGACAATAATTTTGTACTCTAACTATGTTATTAAGTGTGTAGATCAAATAAAACATATTCTGACTCTGGAAAATTCAAGTATGGACAAACCAGACTCTAAACAAAGCACATTTGAAATCTGATCTTTGCAAAATATGAAGATTGGTAAAATCTGAAGCAAGCAGATTCTAATCGGTAGACGCACTCTAAACCAAAAGGAATAAAAAATGTTTTTAATGAAGTCAAGTTTTTGTATCATCAAGTCATCGATTATGAAGATATCCATCCAGATCTACTATGATAATGACTCTGAAGATCAACTCTGATAATGACTATGAGGTTCAACTTTGATAATGACTCTGAAGATCAACACTGATATTGAATATGAAGATCTACTGTGATAATGACTTTGAAGATCAACTCTGATAATGGCTCTGAAGATCAACTCTAATAATGACTCTGAAGGTACTCTGAAAATCTGGAAAAAAAGGACAATACTATAATACCAACGTGTTTTATCTCATTTCATTCCCTCATACACTACATGATGCAAGAACCACTCCTATGGTATTATCAAGCATCTCCAACAACTATATTTTTTTGTTCCAACTTCACCCTCAAACAAATCTATATCATTGCCTATATAATGAATTTTTAGAAGTTTGGAAATTAAGTGGTTGAACAAGAATTACAAGAAGCTGAAAAAGAAAGCTAACACTTTGTATATAGAAAAACAAAAGAATGTCACATCAAGAAGAATATAGCAAAATGTTGATAGAATATCAAGAACAACAAAGAGCGAAACACTTAGAGTATTATATTTCAAACCATTTAAGTGTAATCTTTTGATTTTCATTTTGTGTAATCGACTTATGGTTGAAGCAAATATGTAAACACACAATATTTACATTTAACCTTTTGGTTAATTTCCTTTAGTGACTAAGTGTTAGTCGGATTACTCGAGAAGTCACTGACAATTAGTTTTTGAATTATGATTCCTTGAGAGACTAGGGTATGGTCAAGATTCTCAAGAAGACATTGATGGTTAGTTTTTGAGATTGTAATCAAAATTTTGATTACTAGATTAAGTCCTTATTGAGAAGACAAAATCATCTTGACTGGTAGACTGGAGGTAGCTTAGTTAACAATGAACCGAGATAAAATTCTCGTGTCTTTTATCATTGTTGAATATTTGTTATTTATGTTCTTGGATTGCGAAAAAGCTTTATTCTAGAAACTCAATTCAAATTCTCTTTCTTGTGTTTCTTCGCACCTTCATTCTCAATATAAAATATGAATTGAGATTAGCTGTTAGATTGATTTGGACGATCAATAGAGCTCTATAGAACGAAATTGTCTATTTCCTAGAAGAAAATATGTACTTGATATACGCACTTTAGTGCTTCCTCGTGTTAAGAAAAAACAAGTGTGAGTTAAGAAATGTTAAGAAACAAAGTATGAGGAAGTCCTATATTGATTAGAAAAATGGAGACTTGATCATTTGTAAGTGAGAGAACCCACACACCTATCACCTTAAGGTTTTAGGTTAGTATGCGATATGTCTCTCATAAGATGTGTTTCTCATAAAGAAATGCCTCAACGTAAAACTATTCTCTCATGTTGACCCCCGAGTTGATGACTCAACAATGGTATTAAAGCCTATAGACCAGACTTTTGGCCGCCCACCATTTAAATTTACACACAAAACCCAAAAGAGTTCTAGACTTGAGGGGTGTATCGAAAAGATCTCAAATATCACATTAGTTGAAGGTTGAGCCTTGAAAAAATCATATAGAGTGACACCCGTCATCTTTCAAATTAACTTTATAAGAATGAGTTAAGTCAAACTCTAATATTACCCTATCATTCGATCTTCTATCTTGGGTCTTGCAGATCACCTTTATTCGCTTGAAAATTCAAATAAATTTATTTATTTTATATATTAAAACATTTTGTTTGAAATAAATTATTTTAATTCCTCACAAAATTTTTAAATTATTTATACACTTTATTTATTTTTAAAGGTGTATAAATTTCCTATATTTAATAGTTCAGATATATTGTGATTGACCACTTATGTAAAACTCTTTATATAAAAGTGTATAAAATTATTTTAAAAAAATAGAATCTTTAGCTAGTTTCCTGAAATAAAAATATTCAATTGAAAAATGATAAATTAGCCGAACATATAAACAATAATACATTACACACATATCACGTTTTTTCCATTCCATTGAGAAGAAGATTCGACAGTTATCTAGAACCAAACAAAAAAGAAGAGGGACCCACCCATGGCCATGCCACGTAAGCAACCAGTTAATCTCATTCTTCTATTCGATTCTCTTCTTCTCGTCTCAGGAAACTTCTGGAACATTTCCAAACCAACAACAAACAACCTCTCGTATTCATTACAAATACATCTCCTCCATCTTTAATTCTATTAACATAACAGCAACTGAACAACCTTAATTCTTTCATCATAACAGCAAGTGAACAACCTTAACTCTTTTACATCAAAAATCAGAAATATTTCCAAATTAACAAATCATCATGCATTTTAACAACAACAGAGCAGCAACACCTTTCTCATTGTATGAAACCCAATGGGGCGCTCCTCGTTACAACAAGGCACCGTCAAAGGTGGTTTCGATTCCGGTTCATTTTGTTGGGTCTGAGAGAAACAGAAACGATTCAGCAACAAAGATTCAGAGAGTTGGAAGAGGGTTTCTTGTAAGGAAGAGTTTGAAGAAAATGATGAAGATGAAGGTGGAGTTGGAGGAGATTCAAAAGAATGTCAATAATGAAGAAACTATGAATATGATGAAGAAGGAGCAAAAGGAGAGGATAAGGATCGGTGAAACTATAATGAATTTGCTTCTTAGGTTGGATTCTGTTAGAGTGTTCAATTGTTCTACTCTTAGGGACTTGAGAAAGTTGCTCATTAAAAGGGCCATTTTTCTTCAAGAATTTGTTGATCAAATTCAAATGGTGGGTCCCATAGATGAGGTTGAAGATGTTGATGGTAATTGTGATGGAGTTAAAGAGAATTGTTTGGAGAAGAAAGAGGTGGGGTGTCAGGAGGAACATGAGGGAGGTAAGAAAATTGAAGCTCTGATGAATGAAGAAGGAGAGAGTGACTGTGTGGGAGAAGAGGTGAATTGTATGGAGAAGGAAGAAGTGGGGTGTGATGTGGAGAATGAAGGAGGTGAAGAAATGAAATCTTTGGAGGATGAAGAGAAGAATGGGGATGGTGGTGAGGTTAAATGTGTAAGTGAGGAGGAGAATTGTTTGATGAAGGTAAGCGAGGATGAGGGTCAAGATGAGGATGAAAAGAAGATGAATGAAGAAGAGAAAGAGAGTGTTGGATCAAGTTTGATGGAGGAAGTAATTGAGGAGGATAGTGTGGATGTGAAAGAAGAGGAGGTTAGAAATGTAATTGGATGTGAGGAGGAAGAGGAGGAGAATAGGGAAATGTTGAGAAGGATGATGGGTGATAATGAGAAGATGATGAATATGATGACACAATTGTTTGAGAGGAATGAGAAGCAAACATCACTCCTCACATCTCTAACACAAAGGGTGGAGCAGCTTGAGAGAGCATTCACTTGCGACAAGTTGAAGAGGAAGAATAAAAGGAGAAGAAATGTTGATGCCAAACATAGATATAATTGTTGCATATGATGATTTTTGCTTTTGTTGTCTCAAGTAGGTGTCTATTGTAATCAATGTAACTCTACTAAATTCAATGAAGTTGCCTATCAATTTCCTTGATAATTGTAAACATTTTGCCGTTTCTTTAATTACTCTTGATAGTAAATCTTATTCCAAAGAACTATGTAAATAAAACGTATATTACATGATTACACCAAATTCAAAGTGGAAAACAACAATGCTGCAAAAGTTGCACGGTTGACGGAAGCATGCTAAAAATATTTTGTAATGATCAACCAGAAGCAGTCAATTGGCTTTGGAAAAGTTGTGCAGCAGTCCTACCCATGATCCACTCTAAATCAGATGAAGCCAAAGATATTTGATTACCAATAAGTTGCACCGCTTCTTTGGCTCCTTTGTAGCCACATTCAGGAACAACATATGGAAAATCACTGCAACAACAGGGTTGATAGAAAGCTTAACATGATATTTTGTGAACAAAAATTATTATACTCCTTTTGTTGTTTTTCCTGTATGGAATGGAAGTTACGTACCTGCCCCATATTACATGGTTAGCCCCAAAGCTAGATACAATTTTGGACAACAGAGGAGATAAATCCAGATAAGGAAATTTTGTCCTTGATACTCTGAAGAGTGCACTAAATTTCACATACACCTGCCATCATAAACTCAAATTTTAGTATTCTTAATGCTAGAGTCTTCAATGTTTTAAGAACCCAGCCAAATCAGCTGGTTCAACCTGTTGAATTGAAAACAAGACAGTTTGTCATTTGGTTCACTTACTTGTGGAAATCTAGAAAAATCTAAAAGCTTGGAAAATACAACTGAACTCGTTTGCAGAAGGCGGGCAATACAACTGTTGAAGGAAATTCTGTGCACAGTTCCTCGATTTCAGAAATATGCAGATCAAGCCCCTGAAATTATTCATCTGTCTCTTATATTTTGATAAACTGATACAGATTTATTCAAAAAATGGATTTAACAAAATGTTAGGGACTAATTAATCGGATATGATAAACTTCAAATAGTAATTACTCGTTGAGGGAAAAAGTCAGAGAGAAGATGTAACTGTGTGTTTGGTTTTATGGAACTGAAGAAGGTGAAGTTACAGACATTGAGGAAGCAATATGAGATGCTTCAGATGAAAGAGGATGAATCTATCTCTGCATATTTCTCAAGAATGATGACGCTAACTAACCAGATGAAGGCGTGTGGTGAAGCGCTTACGGATCTGCAAAAGATAGAAAAGGTATTGAGATCTTTAATCGAAGATTTTGATTACTTTGTTGTGACAATTGAAGAGGCCAAGAATCTATCTGAGATGAAGTTGGAAGAACTTCAAGTTTCATTGGAGGCTCACGAAATGAGGCTGCAACAGAGAAACTCAGAAAGAGAGAAGGCAGCTGAACAAGCATTGCAATCAAGATTCAGCAAGAAAGCTGGAAAAGAGAAGTCGAAGCAGCGAAAGAACCTTGCTGGTAATAAGAAGTCAAGCAAGAATACTGATTCGAAAGGTGCGGGCAACAAGTATTATAGGAAGAAAGTTGACACGAAAGAGGTGCAATATTACAATTGTCAAGGTTTTAGCCACTATGCTAGAGACTGTCGAAGAAAGAAAGCTGCGAGGTCGAAAGGTAGTGATGAAGCTCAATATGCACGAGCTGGAGATAATGATTCTGATGATGTGTTGTTGCTGGTGAACACTCAGTCGACTATTGAGAAAAACAACATGTGGTATCTGGATTCAGAATGTAGCAACCACATGACTGACAATAAAAACTGGTTTACTAAGTTAGACGAGTCAGTCGAAAAGGTGATAAAGTTTGCAGATGGAAGGCATATCAAATTAGGTGGTAAAGGAGATATTTCGATTATCAGAAAGGATGGTCGAAAGGCTACTATCACTGAAGTTCTATATGTACCTTCGATGACAAGTAACTTGATAAGTGTAGGTCAATTACTTGCAAAAGGCTTCAATATGAAGTTGGAGAATAATCAGATGAAGGTATATAGGACTGATGGGAGGTTAATAATGAAAGCACCATTGACGCAGAACAAAACGTTCAAGGTTGAACTCAACACATCAGATCACAAATGTCTTGTTTCAACTACTTAAGAAGACAAGAACTGGCTATGGCATCACAGGTATGGACATCTAAACTTCAAGTGTTTATGTATGCTCAATAAGAAAAGAATGGTGATTGGGTTGTCGTATGTGAAGGAACCAAAGCAGATATGTGAGGAATGCTGCAAAGCCAAACATGCAAGGAAGGCGTTCAAACGTGATTTGCCTATAAGATCAAGGCAAAAACTGGAGCTAGTTCATTCAGATGTGTGTGGACCCTTTGAAGTAAAGTCCAATGGAGGTAACAGGTATTTCCTTACTTTCGTTGATAAATTCACCAGACATATGTGGATTTAACTTATTGAGAGGAAGAGTGAGGTATTCACACAGTTCAAGAAGTTCAAGTTGCATGCTGAGAAACAAAGTGGCTGCAAATTGAGGAAGTTAAGAACTGATGGTGGTGGTGAATATACTTCTGCTGAATTTGCTAGATTTTGCAATGAGCAAGGTATGAAGCATGAGGTTATTGCACCCTATACGCTTCAGCATAATGGCATAGCTGAGAGAAAGAATGGAAGTGTACTGAACATGACGAGATGTATGTTGAAAGTTAAGAATATGCCTAAGAGATTTTGGGCTGAAGCAGCTTCGATAGCATTATACATTCTAACTAGATGCCCAACGAAGAAGATGGTCGAAAAAACACCGCATGAGGCATGGACAGGGTCGAAGCCAAATGTAAGTCATCTTAGAGTTTTTGGATCAATGTGTTTCAGGCATGTACCTGAACAATTGAGAAAGAAGTTGGATGATCGTAGTGAGGTCATGGTGCTCATAGGTTATCATTCGACTGGTGCATACAAGTTGTATTCACCAATCAAAGATAAACTAGTGATCAGTAGAGATGTTCTTGTAGACGAAAGCAAAGGGTGGGATTAGAGTCGAAGTTCAGTTCGACAAGAATCAGACCAGTCACAACAGTGTTCGAAGAAGATGAACAAAACGAAGCTTCGACAAGTCAAAATGAAGAACCACCTGTGCAGAATGAAAGAAGATCCACAAGAACAAGGACTGAGTCGACTAGGCTGATTGGATATGAGAGGTTTCCAGATCAAGCAATCGATGCAGACGATGACTTAATCGAAGAAGCCATGATGATGGCTGAATCAAAACCAATTGATTTGGGCGAAGCCTTGAGCAATTTGAATTGGTGTGAAGCCATGAAAGAAGAACTTAGAGCCATTAAGAAGAACAAAACTTGGGAGCTTGTCGAAAGAACCAACAAGAAACCAATTGATGTGAAATGGATCTACAAGGTGAAACGAAAGCCAAATGGTGAGATTGCTAAGTATAATAAGGAAAGACTGGTGGCCATAGGTTTTCTATAAAAACCTGGTATTGACTTCAATGAAGTATATGCGCCTGTTGCAAGGATCAAAACAATCAGGATTGTTGTTTCGATAGCTGCATGTAGAGGATGAAAAAGCACCAACTTGATGTAAAGTCAGCATTTTTGAATGGTCCATTAGAAGAAGGAGTCTACGTTACTCAACCACCAGGTTTCGACGTCAAAGGGAAGGAGTCAAAAGTTTACAGATTAAGGAAGGCTCTCTATGGCTTGAAGCAAGCTCCTAGAGCTTGGAATAAAAGAATAGATAGCTTCCTAATCGATGCAGGTTTCATAAAGTGTGTCTCTGAACATGGAGTGTATGTAAATGATGTCGAAAGTGTCAATTAAATCATTTTATGTCTCTATGTTGATGACTTACTCATTACAGGAGCAGACGAAGCTGAGATAATGAAGGTAAAGTCGAAGTTAATGCAGGAATTCGAAATATCTGATTTAGGGAATCTCTCTTATATCCCGGGAATGGAATTCAAAGACATCGAAGAAGGAGTTTTCTTGCATCAAAAGAAGTATGCTCAAGATATAATGAAGAGGTTCAATATGAGCAACTGGAAGGCAGTTGTTACTCCATTAGAGACTAGAGCAAAGTTGAAAAAAGAATCGAATGATGAGTTTGTAAGTTCGATCCTTTACAAACAAATCATTGGATCCTTGAGGTATCTTTGCAATACTAGACCAGATATCTGCCAAAGTGTAGGATTGTTGAGCAGATTTATGGAGAAGCCTCAGGAATGTCATCTCATTGCAGTGAAGAGGGTGTTGAGATATATAAAGGGAACTATTGATCATGTTGTGCTGTTACCAAAGAAATCAAAGAACAACTCAGATGTCGAAGTTCATGGATACACTGACTCAGACTTCAGTGGAGATCAAGATGAAAAGAAGAGTACTGCAGGATACATTTTCATGATCGAAGGAGCTCCAATCTCCTGGAGTTCGAGGAAGCAAAGCATTGTGGCTTTGTCATCATGCGAAGCAGAATATGTGGCTGCATCATATGCTGCATGCCAAGTAGCATGGATCGAAATGCTACTTGAAGAACTCAGAATAATGGATTCGAAGATGAAGCTATTTATTGATGACAAGTCAACTATAAACCTTGAAAATCACCCAGTGTGTCATGGTCGAAGTAAGCACATTGAAAGAATATCATTTTCTGAGGGATCAAGTCGACAAAGGGAAGCTTGAAATAAAACATTGTAAGACAGAAGTACAACTAGCTGACGTATTCACCAAACCTCTGAAGAAAGTGAGGTTCGAAGAGTTAAAGAAAGGCATCAAGATGAGAAGTCTTGATAACATGAATTAGGGGGGGTGTTAGTTGGTTAATTCTTCTTATGTAGTTATTTGGGCTTTTAGCATTTATTTGGGTCTGGACACTTTGTCTATAAAAGGGCCATTGTGATTGTAATCAAAAGTAGCAATAATAATACATTCAGTTAGAGAGTTAGTTACACTTAACTAATTCAATATTTTCTCTCTCTTCTCTTCTTCTTCTTCTTCTTCTTCTTCTTCTTCTTCTTCTTCTTCTTCTTCTTCTTCTTCTTCTTGTTTTCACAAAATCATCTTTCTTGAATCCTTTGTTCCAACACAACATGTGTTTGACACTAGATACATTTTAGTTAGTTAGATAAAATGTGATATAGAAAAATGAACCAGTAAACCTTGAGGATAAGATGTTCAAACTCCTGAAGCCCACTTTTATCACTAGCTGGATTAGCAAGACAACAACCAACAAATTTGTTCGGATATTTCTTCAAAACACTGACCAACGAACAAAGTCATATGAATAATAGATTATAGAAATAAGTTGAAAACAGTTTATGAATATGTTAAAAGTTGTTTCTATCGACTAAGAGTTCAGCTCATGTATGTGTAAAAACTTGTTTCCATTGGCACTCTCGATCATTTTCACAAGTGTTGATATTAGTATATAAGTTCAAATAAACTAATCCAAAAACATGTTCTAGTAGCAACAAAAGCACTGAACCATTGAGTGTTTCTTCCATCAAACATGAAAAACAAAGTTAACAATTTTTTTTTAAATACACAAGTATGATCAAATTTATGATTAATTGGCTGTACAGTGAGTGCCCCATCTACTCCCGCTTCCTCCATACACTACAAAAGTTTGGTACCAACATCCATGTTACAAAACACAATTCCAATCAAAATCAGTTTTTATCTAACTAAAAATAATGTTTTAAAAATCGAACCAGTCATTTCAATTTCAACCACTTAAACCTTAAACCAACATTTACCATAATTCCGTTATACGATACAGACACTTGTGATTAAATTTAATTTGTTAATTTTTTTTCCAAATTATGAGCAAAGAGACTAAAAATACAAACCTGTAGCAAAAAATCAACATTTTCTGATAAATTGGGCTCTTGTCCAGGAGAGTAAGGAAATTCACTAGCCTTAACATTCAAATTCATTACCATAACAAAACCATAACAAAAATTATACATAAACATACAAAATCGTTAACTTTTTGAAGTTTGATGTAAACAAGACTGAATCCATTTGTTACCTCTTGGAATTGAATTTGGGGTTTCGGTGGAAGCCATTGGAATTGAATTTGTAGCAGAAACAGTTGTGATTTTGAATCTGAAAGGGGGTTTCTTTGAATAATGATTTGAAGCTATAGCTGAAACGGAAAAGAAAGTGTTGCTCAATCTTAGCGCCATTTCATGTGATAAATTACCTCACTCTTGGACTGAATTTCTTTATGAAAAAATAGCTAACATGTGTTCAAAAATACAAATTAATAAATTATTTATATAAATACTTTTTTAGAACACGTACATTCATTCAATATTTTAAATTTATTTTTATTATATTTAATTATATTTATATTTTTCTAATTATAATATCTTTAAAATAATATCCTTAGCATGACCCATAATTTATTATTATTATTATTATTATTATTATTATTATTATTATTATTATTATTATTATTATTATTTTATTATTTTATTTATGTTTGATATATTAGCTATGCATTCAAAATAAACTTAGGCACCACAATACCGATTGTACCACCAATACATCAGTCTTATTCGTATCAATACTATAGAATAAAAAAGATGTGTCAATAGGTGTGACTCTTATGTGTATTCTATTTTTTATAAATAGGTTTTTCATTCTTATCATTTTTCACGCATCTTTTTATTTTATTCTTAAATTTTTCTTCAATAACATGATTATTAAAAGATATGTATATGTTTATTATTCGATTCTCAAGTCTTCATAGAAGATATGTTTTTGGAACATCCATACTTTTGAACAACTTGAGAGGAGCTTGATATGTTGGTTAGGCGGAGAGATTAAAGATGATGAAAAAATTAGAAGAATTGATAGGTTTATTTCGATTTTCTCAATTGCGAATGAGAATAACGAAGCACAACATGCGTGGGAGTCGGTTACAACTAACAGTGATGTCCATATTATGATGTACAAGTCAGATGATATCATTTTGATGGTTGTAATCTCTTATATGTGTTGCATTGTTAAGTCTTTTTATTTGCTCTGTGTTGTTTTAGGCATGTTTGTGTTTGTTTTGTTGTAATCGAAAGTTGTATTCAATAATAAATTCCATAGTTACAAAAAATAAATTATATATCTAAGAGTGCATACAATAATTATATTGTGGAGCTTGTTCTAAGATTGGGACAACGTTTTCGTATGTGTCCGGGATGACGACATATATCACATAATCTTATCATTTTGTTAGTCTTATCCATTTCTTTTCTAATACACGTGTTGTTAGGGTGACTCATTTTCTGCATTCACATATTTTCGTTGTGCCAAATTATGTCCCTTTGATATAGGCCAATATCCCTCCTTTGCTACTATCGATCGAGAATCTATTATTGTGAAAGCACAAAGTATCTTGTGGTATCTTTTTTGTGCTTTAAGTATATTTGTGTTTTGATATTTTTGTCAATTGGGTTTTTGGTTGATAGTCTTACATATTTGTAATTTGAATAATATCATGTTCGTGTGCTTGTAGGCTTTTATCATTTGAATTTGTTTGTAATCGCTTCGGGTATTATTATTAGATTGTACCACTGAGAAACCTCTACATTTCATCGATATTATTCACTTGATCCTTGATTGGTATTTCCTTTTTAGGCCCATGAAATTGTTATTTTGTCATTTCCACAAGTGTAGCTTGAATCACAAGTTAGAACATTTAAATTTGGATGTTTTGGTCTTTGATTCGAATCATGTGTTTTTTTTATTCAAATCACTCATCTTTGAAAATTGGATAAAGTTTTTGGACAAAGTAATTTGAATCACATATTGAACTTGATTCAAATTATATACTCACTTGATTTAAATAATGTGTTATCCTTGATTCGAATCATGAGCTTTGAAAAATGCCCATATATGGCATATGTTCAGATTGATTCGAATCAAATTTCCTTCCTGATTCGACTCACGTTTTGAAAAATCCAATTTTACATCTTTTATTTAAATATTTGTTTCTCTTGATGAAAGTAACAAGTGTGTGAAACCTTTGATAATGTTTGTTCTGGACTGGACAAGCGACTAGACACGATCCAATCCAATCCTGCTCAAGGACAGTCCAAAAGCATTGGCCCAATTATCATAGGGCTAGCGAAGGGCGTGATTTAGTTCTGCCTGATAGCTTTGGGTGTGTGGCCCCAGAGACGACAAGACCATACCTGCCTACGACTGCGACCCTGCTCGTGGCAACAAACAATTTTGGGCATCCCTGCCCGTGATAACGGCTAGTTTCGAGCACCTCTCCTCAGGATGCCGTGCACGGGTTGCCTGCCCTTGATAGTTACCTATTATTGAGGGCCTAATATCCAGGCCCAAAAATAGGGACCAACGGCCAAGCGTCGGGGGCATTATATAAACCCTCACACTTGTTAGGGTCAGGTATCCAATATTAAAACCTAAAACTCTATATTCTCTCTTGTATTTATTTGCACCTTTACT